CTCTGCATCAACTCTTAATTCTCACACTTGTGAAGTAAGTGCACCACAAGGTGTGTTTTACAGATGAGAAAACTAAGGTTAATAGATGACAAAACCCAGATTCAAACTCAAAATAAAATATTTTGAGTCCCAGATCTAGTCCTATATTTATAAGTAATTATATATAAATACATAACATGCATTTGTATATATATGTATTTTCATATAAATGTTTATATATAAAATATTTAGTAACTAGTGTCTATTTCCAGTCACCAGCTGCATTAGCCCTTACCAAGAAAGTCAGCCTGTCCTTTGAAGCCAGACTTTGACTTCTCTGTCCTCTGTGGCATCTTATTCCATCAGAAGTCTGTTTCATCTGCATTGAAAATCTGTTCTCTAGTGTAGTCACCTTCATCAGTGATCTTAGCTAGATTGTAGATAACCTATGTGCAGTTTCTCCATCAGCACTGGCTGCTTTATCTTGCATACACACACACACACACACACACACACATATCTCAAAGCCTTAATTTATAGACATGAATAGCCTTTGTTATGAGTAGTGAGTTTTTAAATTTTTAATCTTTTAACTTTTCTTAATCTTTCACCTACCCGTCAAAGAAAGAAAAAGTCAGCTGTGCAAACAGACAAGTAAGTGTGATATATAAAGGAGTCGCCAGGAGCTGTTAATCCAAGATAAATAGGATAAATGTGGGATAACATTTATTTTGCACATTGGCCAAAACTAGTCTTGAATTTCATTGACCCACCTGTGCTCTCTTGTTCCACTGCAGTCAGCATTGCTGCATAACTACCCATTAAAACCGATGATATTTAAAAAACAAAGAATACAGGCACTTGCTATATGACAAACGTTTGCAAGTTGTAAGATTAATTATTGTAATAGCAGGAGTCAGCAGAATGCCCCATAAATTTTCAGCCCAAATGCCTTCAGTTTATTTCTCGTTCATACAAATTTAATTTTCTTATCTTCTCCAAAGAAGATTTTTAAACACTTGAATGTCATCCTTGATAGGGTGAATCCTTGATTCACCTTGATGTTTGCTTCATTAACTGCTTTTAGTAAGGTTAGTTTTATACTGTTGTTTTCTTTCCCTCTGTGTTCTGTCAAACCCTTTTATAAAAATTCTTCAAATGTACAGTAGTTGAATATTTTGGGACTGTCTCTGCTCTATGTTTTTTATTTTTTATTTTTCCCTAAAGACACAAACATTTCAAAGTATTTGGGAAAAAAGGCATACCTTAAAGATTTTTTGAGCTCAAGTCCAGACCACTGCAATGATTGACTTCTTTGTTTTCCCAGTGCATATAAAAGTTATATTTACATGATACTATGCAGTAGCATTATGTCTGTAAAAACTATGTGCCTATCTTAAAAATATTGCTAAAAAATGATTAACAGTCATCTGAGCTTTCAGTGAGTTGTAATCTTTTTGCTGGTGGAGGATCTTGCCTTGATGTTGCTAGCTGTTGACTGATCAGGGTGGTGGTTGCTAAAGGTTGAGTAGTTGTAAATCGGTGAAGTTTGCCACATCAGTTGATTCTTCCTTTCACAAAAGATCTCTCTGTAGCATGTGATGCTGTTTGAAAGCATTTTGCCCGGAGTAGAACTTTTTTCGGAATTGGAGTCAACCCTTTTAAAACTTGCTGTTGCTTTATCAACTAATTTATGGAATATTCTAAATCCTTTGCTGTCATTTCAACAATGTTCAAAGCCTCGTCACCACGAACTGTTTCCATCTCAAGAAACTACTTTGCTTATCCAGAAGGAGCAACTCCTCATCTGCTCAAGTTTTATCATGAGACTGCAGCAATTCAGTCACATATTCAGGCTCCACTTCTAATTCTTGTTATCTTGTAGTTTCCACCACATCTGCAATTACTTCCTGTACTGAACTCTTGAACCCCTCAAAGTCATCCATGAAGACTGGAATCAACTTGTTTCAAACTCCTATTGATGTTGATATTTTCACCTGCTCCTATGAATCTCAAATGTTGTCAATGGCATCTAGAATGGTGAATCCTTTCCAGTAGGTTTTCAATTTGTTTTGCTGAGATCTACCAGAGGAATTACTATCTCTGGCAACTATAGCCTTACAAAACGTATTTCTTAAATAATAGGACTTGCAAGTAGAGTGACTCCGTGATCCATGGACTGTAGAATGGATGTTGAATTAGCAGGCATTAAAAGCAACATTAATCTTTTTATATATTCCATCAGAGCTCTTGGATGACTGGGTACATTGTCAATGAACAATATTTTGAAAGGAATCTTTTTTTTCTGAGCAGTAGGCTTCAACAGTGGGCTTAAAATTTTCAGCAAACCGTATTATGAACAAATATGATGTCATCCAAGCTTCTGTTTTATTTGTAGATCACAGGCAGAGTAGATTTAGCATAATTCTTAGGGGCCCTAGGATTTTCAGAGTGGTAAATGAACATTGACATCAACTAAGTCACCAGCTGCATTAGCCCATACCAAGAAAGTCAACCTGTCCTTTGAAGCTTTGAAGCCAGACACTGACTTCCTTTAGCGTGAAAGTCCTATGTGGCATCTTATTCATTAGAAGGCTGTTTCATCTGCATTGAAAGCCTGTTAGTCACCTTCATCAGTGATCTTAGCTAAATGGTAGATAACTTGTGTGCAGTTTCTTTATCAGCACTGGCTGCTTTACCTTGCACTTCTATGTTACGGAGATAGCTTCTTTCTTTAAACCTCATCAACCAACCTCTGCTAGCTTCAGACTTCTCTTCTGCAGGCTCCTCATCTTTCTCAGCCTTTATAGAATTGAAGACAGTTAAGGCCTTGCTCTGCATTAGACTTTGGCTTATGAGGATGTTGTAGCTGGTCTGGGCTTCTATCTAGACCACAAAATCTTTCTCTATATCAGTAATAAAGCTGTTTTGCTCTCTTATTCGTATATTCACTGGAGTAGCATTTTAATTTCCTTTAAGAACATTACTTTGCATTTAAAACTTAGCTTTTTGATGCAAGAGTCTTAACTTTTGGCCTATCCGAGCTTTTGATAATCATTTTTCACTAGGCTTACTCATTTCTAGCTTTTAATATAAAGCCAGAGATATGCAACTCTTCCCTTTCACTTGATCACCTAGAGGCCATGATAGGGTTCTTAACTGGTATAATTTCCATACTGTTGTGTCTTAGGGATTAGGGAGGTTAAAGAGAAGAAGAGAGATGGGGGAATGGCCAGTTGGTGGAGTAGTCAGAACACATGTAATATTTATCAATGAAGTTCGCCGTCTTATGCAGACACTGTTCGTGGTGCTCCAAAACATTTACAAGAGTGATAATGAAGATTGCTGATCACAGAGCACCCTAGCAGGTGGAATAGGAACAAAAAATTTTGAAATATTATGAGAATTACCAAACTATGACATAGAGACACAAAGTGAACACAAGCTGTTGGAAAAAAATGGCTGTGATAGACTTGTCCAAGCAGAGTTGCCACAGGCTTTCAATTTGTTTAAAAAAAAGGATCTGTGAAGTGCGGTAAAGCTAAGCACAATAAAACAAAGTATGCTGGTATATTAGAAACCTTTGGTTCTATAGCAACGTTTTTGTCATACATAGACGCATGCATGTGTACATATGCGGTTTTTCATTGCTTCCAAATTACTTCCAAGTTATTTAGACTCCCTCGTATGTCAGTGTAGACCCTTTGCAGTTTGGCTTTTACCTGCACTTTCAAACCTTATCTTCTTCAAAAACCTTCGAAAATAACCTTCTTTGTAGCTCTGATGATTCACCCCTGCTACCTCCAGGCAATACACCTCTTCTCTTTGCTTGGAATGAGTTCCCTCCTATTTGCCCAACTTTTGAGTGTGTGTAAGAGTGTGTGTGTGTGTGTGTGTGTGTGTGTGTATGTATGTATGATTCTGTCTATATTAATTTGGTCCTCGGGCGTTTTGTCTTAATTTGAGATCTCCCACAGTATCTGAGACACTTCCTGGCACATAGTAGGCACCAAATAAACGTGGTTTTATATGAGTGCCAAGTACCATTTCTTTAGGAAGTTGATTTTCTCTGATAATTGCCTTTAGTAAAAATATTTAAATTGCTTCTTAAATTCTAAATTACATTGTTTTTATTCACACGAAAATAAATCTTACCGTATTTTTTCTAGAGTGCCACTTTAAAATGTATCAGATTAAAAACCATCAGCATCTCAGCATTTTTCACATTTGTACATGTATACATGCATGTGCAGACACACACAGACACACTTATCAGCAAGGTTGTTTGCCTTCACTTTTTCTCTGAGTAATAATGAAGTGAAGGTCTTAGAAACAGAATTTTATTACATGTAAACAGCATTCATAATTCCTCCAAGAGAATGCCAGTATATTTGTGTCAAACAAAAAGGGCAAGAGTTATGGATGACTCAGTGTATATTCAGCCAAACAAAGAAATAGTCATTGATTTTATTCCTACTGGACATATCTCAGTATTGAACACCATTAATAGTGTTGGCCTCAAAACAGCTCTTCACTAGGCCTCTCTTCTTCTTTCAGGACTACTTCCTTTGATTTGATTTCCAGACCATTTCTGGAATGAAGTAGTTGCACTCTGTGGAATAAGCTACAGGTTTTCACAGCCTCTCTCAAAATGTGGCACCAAGAACCAAGCACACCATTCACAATATTACTCATCTAAATCACTTTAGAATTCAGTGGAATTTTTGCCTTCCTAGTGCTGGGTGAGATGACTTTTGCTTGTCTCATGTTAATTGCATTCATCTTGAGCTTACAGTCAGCAAACACCCTCTACCTGAATTATTTTCTCATATAAACTGATTTTTAAGTGAAGCCTCAGGTCCTATACGGTATAGTAAATTGCAGTCCTCTTGGTAGCATTTAACAGACTAATTTACACACTTTTTATTTTATTAGTAGTCTTTTTTAAAACTAGACTATTGTTTACCTTTGTGAATATTTAAGTAAATTATTTTCTGTTTATTTCTTTTTAATTTTTGTAGTACTGGAGAAAATGAAACTGGGATTGACGCATCAAGATGCTTGGCTCAATAAGAAAACCACGTTAGGAGCAATCTATGTATATTGGAGACTTCAGAGTAACCAGCAAGGAAGAGAAAACTTAATCGTCAAGTTATCATATTTTCCAGATATTACATGGTACCTGAATTCTACTTCCTTGGATGTCATTGCTTAGATAGTCCTGAAGGGTTTGTTGTGAAATATTGTATATATTTTTTCAAATGTATACATTGTTAATAAATTAAGAAATGAGAAATATTCTTATTTATTTACATGTTATGAGAGTTCTGGAGGAAGTAATATGTTGAAATAGCAAAACAGTTTAGTTTTTGAGTTTAAATATTATGTTTTCCTCTTATATATTCATATCAGGGCAGCAGTAACCTGAATTTAGATTGTCACAGTTTAAGTTTTTTGTTTGTTCCTTCCTTCCTCTCTTCTCCCACTCACTTTTGTTTGTTGTTTTTTCCTAATTTACATGTTTAAAGTTCTACTTAAACGTTTTCTTCATGTTTTACATGTTATGGCTCATTCTTTTGCAGTTCAAGAATTGCTTATATTTTTAAAAGATATTCATTTTCTCTTATACATAATTGATTTTTTGTAAACTACCGTTCATAGTTCTTTTAGCTTTTAAGTATGTATAGTAGAATATGAAAATGTGGCTATTTAGATAACTAGCCAAAAGGTCGTCTGACCACCAATTTTAGTATTGAGCATAAGATATTTTTATAGATTCATGTAAGGCAATGTAAATTGTCTTTCTACAATAAAATTTTTTGATGCAAATTTAGATTTCAGAAACTTTTTGATGGTATAAAGGAATTGAGGAACAAAAGGCTTTTTGAAATAGCTCACCTAGACCTGTTAATGTAATATATTCTTTCTGAGTTAAGCAAAATAAGTTTTTGTTTTTTAAGAGTAGATCTAATCCCTCTAGCTTTTTTGCTGGAACTTTGGGGAAAAAGAACAAATACAAATATACAAATGATATGAACAATATAGTACTAATCTTTTGCAACTTAATATGTTACATAGTCATATGACTTGGTCTTGGAAGACAAAGAATTGTTTTGGTGCTGAATAAATATTAAAAATCAAGAGACAGAGAAAATGAAGGTAAAATTGTGGCACAGTTTCAGAGAATGCCATTAATGATAATGTGTATTTATCTCAAATTCTTAGCCCTGAGCTTGCCTCTTTAGAGTGGTGTTACCAGCGAGAGGGGAAGCATGTAATTGACACTCTAGAGGCATATGGAATGTGATTTGTATAAAACATACCTGCTGATTAGAAAAATGGTAAGAATGAAAATACCTTTATACATCATCTTAAGAGAGCGTATATCTAAACTAAATGGGCAGGCTTCATCCTCTACCTTTCTTTTTCTTTTCTTTGCATGTTTATGTCTTTTTTGCTGTTGTTCAGATATTTTTAGCCCTCTGCATGCTCATTCTTGTAGTTCTGTTTCTATTGGCACTTCCTCCAAAATTTTTCTCTGAATTACCTATGTTGAAAATGACCTTTCTTCCTTGTGAACTCCTACACTGGCATCTCCTGTTTCAGGGTTTGGCATACTTTTTCTTTAATGGGCTAAAAAAGTAAGTATCTTCAGCTTTGGGGGGCATATGGTCTCAATAGCATCAACTTAACTCTGCTAACTGGAAGGCAAAAGTGTATCATCTTACTCATCCATAAACTCCACAGCACTCTGCATAGATAGGAGGATGTTTATAAGGAACTCAATAAATAATTCTGACACAGACATGAAATTCTCTAAGGACAGACACTGACAACTAGTCAGGAAGGTTGATCATGAGTAACTTTGTATTCAGTGCCACCTTATCAAAAATTGTAAAGAGGATAAACCTTTCTAGGAAGGGTGACGCGTGCTGGGTGAGGAAGGAGCATCGCTCAGGAGGGTGAACAGTAGCTGTGGATTTGCTGAGAGATTTTGGCTGTGAGTGACAAGCCTATATCAAAAAGAAAAGTGACTTATCAATCTCAGTTTTTATTGCTCAAAGCAATTCTTCACTCCTAATTTTTCCAAATTCCATTGTTTTTACTCTTTAGAGCTCTATCCTGAGTGTAATCTGCATGTTTCTTTATTGTCATTGCCATGTGACTTCTTTGGTGACAAGTTCAGTAATATTTCAAGCATGATGTTTGTTTTGAGTTTGAGAAATGTGTTTGTGAGGACACATCACTTTAATTAAAAAGTGTGAATACTATGGTCATAAGTTATTCAGAGTGAGATTTCTGAGTGGGGGAGAGAGAATGTAGATGGCAGTTATTGAGAGTGGGGCTATAGGAAAAAAAGAAGAAAAGTATGGTTAACATTCCCAAATAAAGGGTGATACAGCCTTGCTTTTTGCTGGGGTTAGCAAAAATCATTCTCCATATGCTAGTTTTAGATGTTCCCCAGTTCATTTGTATTATTGAGTTTTCAGCTGGGTATGTATTGTTATAATAGCAGTCAACATGATGTAGGGGCTCGGTATTACATGTCAGGACTATATTAATTGCTTCATATGCCTTATCTCATTATTCTATGAGATAGAATTGTCTCCTTATTTTTCAGTTGAAGTAACTGAAGTTTAAAGCAATTGAATCATCTGCCCAAGAATAAGCTGCTGGTGAGAGCACAGTTGGGATTTAAGTCGAGTTAGGCCCCAGTGATCACAGTCTTGACTGTTAAATTCTTCCAGCCTTCATTTTTCACTGAGATAATAGTAATGATAGTACTGACCTCTAAGGTGTGCATTTGTGGGTGTGTGGTCCGTTCAGCTTTAATCCCCAGAAGACAAGACTTATTCCTTTTCTTAGTTTTGGTCATGTTTTATTTTTCCATTGCTTTTAACAGGATTACCAAAGGCACACTCAGTAGTCAGTAAACACATTTCTAAGAAAGGTGTTGTGTCATCATGCCACATATTCATACCTGCCTTGGGTTGGAAAGTATATCATTCAGTAAAAACATACAGGTAAAATAAATCTTGCCAATGCAATTGTTAACCTACAATCCTAATATACCTTAAGTATATCCTTGCACATAAATATAACATTGCCATTTAAAACGATAAACCAAATTGAGATTCTTAGGAGCATGTTGTAAGTAATTACTAATGTTTGCTTTATTTTAGATAGATCACACAACTTCAAATAAAAACTGATAGAGATTGAACCGATTGAGAATAAACCTTAGTGCCAAATGGAAAATAATTTTTTACAAGTAAATTTGAAGAACAGTGTGGACTTTCTTTAATTATATACAGAAAATATACTGATTTACCAAATGAATAATTTTGATATATTAATATTTCACTTATAAGGATGCATACCACCTGATCCAGCATGGGAGCAAGGAACAGAAAAAGAACATTAGGTAAAAATGAAAGAAATCTGAATATAGTATAGAGTAGCTAAAAACAAACCCCAAAAAAAGGAAAAGCAGAATAAGCCTTAGAAGATAGTGAGCATCCCACTTGGGTGACCACTTACAGAAGCTGAGGTGGGACCCCTGCATCTGATAAGAGGTTGCACTAGACCACAGGAACCACATTCCACTATAAGAACTAGGGTGGGACTGGACATGTCAGAACCTCCTGGGACCTCTATTAAATGTGCACATTCCCAATCCCCACTCCTGAGCAGCTAAATCAATCTGCAGGTGGGCCTTGTGAGTTTTCCCAGGGGATTCCGATGCCTGCTAGATGTTAAGTTTTCCTGTAGTCCAGAGATTCCATAGGCCAGTGTCAGGGAACAGGAGTCAGGGCTGGGAAGGCATTAGAACAGAAGACGCATTTGAGGCTCTGTTACGCTGGTCATCCAACCCAACCAGATATCTCTTGTTATATGCTAACCTCATTTTCTCTTTATTGTCTATGGTGGCAAAAAATAAATTTTATGTAGCCAAAAACCCTAACAAAAAGCACTTTTCTGTATAATGAGTAGTTTATTTTAAGAATGGGTACTACGTAAATACTGGCAAGTGAAAGTTCATTTTGTTCAGTGCTATGGGCTGGTGCGTTGCATTTCAACACTAGCTTTTTACTTTTATCTACCCTGAGGGTAGATAACCCATATTCCAAAATGCAGTATCATTTTCATTTACTGTTAGTAACATTTTAAGAAATATGTAGTTTCTAAAACTTCATATACTTTATATGGAATATGAACAACTTTAATATGAATAGTCTAGAAAAAAACTGTTTTTTTTTTTAGGAAAAATTGCCACGAAATCATGAGCTAAGTCAATGGTTATTTTAAGCCACTTAATTTTGAGACTAGTATTTCATACAGAAAAAGCTAATACTGATATCACATGCTAATTGCGTATAAAACACTAAGAATGTCAAAATAGAACATAAGAAAATGAATCTAGTGGACCCACTGCATAGTGTAACTTTGGGATGAATTTAAAAGAATATTTAAGTCACAGTCAATTTTCTGTTGGTCTGATTTTACCAAATAACCCCCTAAATAAGGAGTCTGATTTATCTAAAATAGAAGTTAACGTAGCATCCCAGTATTGCCATTCTAAAACTCTGGCATGTAAATGGGAGAAATAGAAATAAGCTCAAACTCGGTAGAGTAACCCGTTTCTTCATGAACCATAGCATTTAACTAGAATTTGGCCAGCTCATGCCTGTAATCCCAGCATTTTGGGAGGCCAAGGCAGCCAAATCACTTGAGCCCGGGAGTTCAAGACCAGCCTGGACAACATGGTGAAACCCCATCTCTTCAAAAATACATATATTTGTGTGTGTGTGTATGTGTGTGTGTGCACAAAAATTACCTAAGCGTGGTGGTGCACACCTGTAATCACAGCTACCTGGGAGGCAGAGGTTGCAGTGAGCTGAGATCGCACCATTGCACCCCAGCCTGGGTAATAGAGCGAGACAACTGTATCTCAAAAAAAAAGAATTTCACTAGAATTTATATCTTCAATGTTTGCATTAGATCGTCACCAGCACTATCTGCCTTGTGACTGTCAGGACTAATCTTTACATTGTTTATCTTATGTCCTTTACCTCAATTTATGTCCATCACCACAAGAATCCCAGACCTCCCTAATCATACCTTATGCCCTGGTCTTACCCACATATGGCTCAGTAAAACTGCATCTCCCCAAACCTCAGAACTCCTTGGGCCATCATTGTCAGAGACATTTGAACCAGAACAACTCCATCTTGAATAGGGGCTGGGTATAATGAAGCTGAGAGCCACTGGGCTGCGTTCCCAGGAAGTTAGGCATTCTTAGTCACAGGATGAGATAGGAGATTGGCTCAAGGTAAGGTCACAAAGACCTTGCTGGTAAAACAGCATGTGGTAAAGAAGCCAACCAAAACCCACCAAAACCAAGCTGGGAATGAAAGTACCTCTGGTCGTCCTCACTGCTCATTATACGCTAGTTATAATGCATTGGCATGCTAACAGACACTCCCACCAGCACCATGACAGTTTACAAATGCCATGGCAACATCAGGAAGTTATCCTATATGGTCTGAAAAGGGGAGGAACCCTCAGTTCTGAGAACCACCCTTTTCCTCGAAAACTCATGAATAATCCACCCCTTGGTTAGTGTATGATCAAGAATTAACTATAAAAATAGCCAACCAGCAGCTCATGCTGCTGCTCTGCCTATGGAGTAGCCATTCTTTCTTCATAAACCTTCTTTCACTTTATGGACTCCCCCGGATTCTTCTGCAGGGGATCCAAGAACCCTCTCTTGGAGTCTTAATTGGGACCCCTTTCCAGTAACTTCAGCAGGATCTGTGAGTGCCAGTTTCCTTCTGTGGGGCAAAACTAAGTGCTAAGTACACTCCCCCCCGCCTTCTCTATTTTTAAGAGAACTTTCTGCCCTTTTGAAGTGGCTACATTGTCTGGGGTACATACCCTGGAGTTCATTGTCACAGGAGAATTTAGGACAGACACACGAGGAGTTTAGGAAGTGGAGGTTTAATAGGTAGAAGAGAAGGGAAAAAGAAACAGCTTCCTCTATAGATGTCTGCACTCACACCGTGCATACCTCCAGGCTTTAAGGCATGGCCCATAATGTGTCTCCGAGTGGAAAAAACCGATGGTCTCCAAGTGGAAAAGACCGGTTGGTGGTGAATGCGCCAAATTTTCTAGTCCGGTTTGAGAAGGCGGTTTCTGATTGGTTCAATCAGGTATGACATTTGGATAGTGCATGTGGAAGGCTGGTCGCCCCTCTCTGATCTTGTGCAAATAGGCTTTCCAGTTGATTGGGCCCATCTTGTCTAACACGTGGCTGGCAGAGAAGGGAAGATGAAGCCACCATCTTGAAAATGTCTAGTCCTTAGTTTCTGCTGGCATTCACCCATGCAAGCTCCCAGCTTATTTGTCTATGTCTGCATCTCAGCTTTACAGACTGCTCTTTGTTAGAAAATGATTTGGAGCTGCGTTTTCGTTAAAGAAAAGCCTTACCGAGGACTCCCATACCCTTACTATCTGCTTAAGTGATTTCTTCTTAACTCCTGTATCACTTTTACACAGCACAGAATAATGATGTGTCCATAAATGAGCCTTTGCAAGATTACCATTTATCAAACAAAACCAGTGATGTTTAGTTAACTGTTTGTAATAGTAAATGGTTGGTAGAATGTCTAATTCAATAAATGTTTCTTAGATGAGTAAATGAATGGTTTAATTTCAATAAGCTCGATTCTTGATCAAACGTTCCCTTTTAAATCTAATTTTAAAAATCTGAGTTTGATATTTTTTAAAAAGGTTAATATAAACGTAGCATACAATACTGCAATTTCACTCCAGGTTATCTGCCAAGAGAAATGAAAATATGTCCACATGAAGACTTGCACACAAATGTTCTAAGCGTGATTCATAATAGCCAAAAAAAACCCAAAAAACTCATGTGTCCATCAATTGGTGAATGGCTAAAAATGATGTGATATAGTCACACAATGGGATACTGTACAGCATAAAAAGGGAACTCTACCTCCTCCCTCCTCCCACTGCAACTGGAACAGCTGGTTCTGTGGTGGCTTCCACCTGGCTGCAGCTTCCTCCTCACCTCCTCTTGGTCTTCACCTCAGATCCCCCTCGTCCACCCTCACCCATGCTGCGGTCACCAGCCCTGTGACAACCTCCAAGCCTGGACATTCGCTTTCCCCTTTGGCACTGCTTACCAGAGTCAGTTTTCCTCACATCTCTGCACTGACACCATGCATACCTCCAGGCTTTAAGGCGTGGCCCATGATGACCATAAGGAGCAGTAGAGCCCAGGCTGCTGCCTGGGAACACAAGTAGCCCAAGAAGCTGTGGACTAGCCTGAGGCCCCGAGTGCTTGCTGGGCTACAGACACCCATAGACACTGAGTTCATCAACAGTTGGCCTGACTGCACCAGAACAAATCAAGTTTGCTAAAAAGACTCGTGATCTTGAAAGAAACTAGGGTGCCTTATTTAAGCCTCTGCAATGATTTGAGATGAAAATGACCAATTCAGGAAACTGTTGTGATAGTCTTATCGAGCAAAGGGGACTTGCTGCCTGATGCATTAAAAGCCTATACTGTGACATCAGGTTTTTGTGAAAAGGAAAGCTTTATTTGAAAGTCAGCACCCAAGGAGACAGGAATCAAGCTCAAATCTGTCTCCCTGTGCTGGCTTTAAGGTAGTAATTGTATTACAAAAGGTTTAGAAGATGAATACTGGCATTAGCAGGTGATTGGTGGTAGGAAAGAGGAGGCCTGCAAAGTTCCGGGGCATATGCAGTTATGTCTTCATGTCTCCTCATGGGTCCCATGTGCAAATTTGGGAAGAGTTAGTATAAACCGTGTAGTGGAAATTTAGGCTGTGACATTAGCATGCTTGTTCTGTACAAACTTTAGTTGGCCATCCTGGTTCCAGCTGATTGCAACCAGTTTTTTCATCACCTAAGCAAGGAGGTGTCTGTGTTTCAGCAAGTGGTTTCTCTTTCTATCTGGCATTCTACAAACTCGAAAATTTCTGTTAGTCATTGGTCTCTTTAACTCTTTGTGGTATTGTTTCAATTTTCAAATAAAGCATGAGGCAAACATCAAACAAGCAAAGCTTAAAGAAGAAAAAGGCTGGAGTAAAGGAAGATTCCAAAGAAATAACTGGGGCAAAGCTGAAGAAAAAGAGTTTAAAGGAATTTCTGATGAGGCTAAAGAAAATTTCTGGATTTTAGTTCACTGTTTTAAAGAATATTGTTTTGATTCTGTGATTAAGAAGCATTAATGAATTTGTTGTAAAAAATTTGAAAGATGTTGAACTAAAACTCAGTTCCTGGCAAGCCCCTAAAAGTTACACATTTGATTTTCACTTTGAGCCTGGTGAGTATTTTAAAAACAAAGCGCTAACAAAGACATACAAAGTCTTGACCAGAATTTATATCAAATCCTTACCTTTGTGAGGGAGTTGAAATTCAAAGCTGCATAAGATGTCAAGTAGATTGGAAGAAAAAATCTATCACCATGAAAACCATTCAGATGGCTGGGCGTGGTGGCTGACACCTGTAATCCCAGCACTTGGGGTGGCTGAGGCGGGCAGATCATGAGGTCAGGAGATCAAGACCATCCTGACTAATACTGTGAAACCGCATCTCTACTAAAAATACAAAAAAGTTAGCCGGACATGGTGGCAGGTTTCTTTAGTCCCAGCTCAGGAGGCTGAGGCAGGAGAATGACGTGAACCTGGGAGGCGGAGCTTGCAGTGAGCAGAGATCGCGCCACTGCACTCCAGCCTGGGTGACAGAACAAGACTCCATCTCAAAAAAATAAAAAATAAATAAATAAAACCATTTAGAAGAAGAAAAGCAGTGTGAATGGGAAAAAACAAAGTTACTTAAGTAGTTTCAGTGATTCATTCTTTTTTAGTCTTCCTATAGTTCCTGAACAAGAATACCTGGATGAAAAAGAAGCAGTTATGCTTGCTTAGGACTTTAAAATAAATCAGATTATACATGATGATGAAATCGCCAAATCAGTATCTTACCTTACAGGAAGTGTTTCTCATGTTTCTGAAGAGGATCCTGATAATAAATATGACAGGACGCTTGATGAGGATGAGGAGGATACATTTGCAAAAATTACTAAAAATATGAAGAATATCTGACTAGAATTGTGTGAACTGTAAGCTATAATGTGTAACCTTGGTTATTATAACAACTTAAGGCCAACAGCATTTATAGTCTTACTGTACATAATTTTCTTGGTGGAGACAGTTTTAGAGAATATGCCAAGGAAGTTTTGAAGTATTAATTAATTATCCTTAGCTTGTATTAGTATCAGTTTCTGCAAGATGTGGAGAATGAAGTAAATTCCATAAAGCAGATTAATTTGTTCTGACATATTTACTTTGTGTGAACTCCTTTTGACAAGTACTTCTCGAACTGCAACTCCAAACATTATTTGAACTATTAGCAGATATATATTTACATACATATTTTGTTTTGGCTCAGTTGAAAGTTTATTCTGCTAGAGCTAGAGGTATTTTCTTTATTCTGCTGAAGCAATGCAGTGACTTATTAAACTATAAGGTAGTTTGCTTTTTAAATGTTTTAAATCAATTACTAGTCCACATTTAAGAATTTCTATTATAGTGACAATGTTAATTACTGCTTTATTATGGTTTTCTTAATGACAGTAATCTATAATTAAACTGTCATAGTGAGGTATTTACCATTATAGTATTAATATAATGTTCTTAAATGTTTGCATAATGGTATTTAAGATGAATAAGCACATTTTCTTTGGGGCAGAGCCCATGTTATATTTCATTGAAATGTTCAGAAGTACTATTCAGCAAGCTTTGTTCACGTTCTTTTGTTACTTGGAAGTATCAAAAATAAAAAAGGAACAGAAGAAATATTTCTGTGAGAGAAGATACATTATAGTAGTTAAATAGAGAACTTTTAGCTTGGCAAACTAGGGATTTTTTAATAGCATGTATAATTAAAATTTGAGAGTTTTTTTTTTTTACACTGCTGTTCCACAAACATTTTGCTTGAGTAAATATAACATTTTGCTTTATTTTGGAAACCCAAATAAGAGGGATATGATCAAAAAATAAAGTGATAAGAACACACAAAGTGAATAAACAGCTGAACATACTAATAAGAGAAAATGTGTTTGTTGACTTCAGAAAGGAATTAATATGAAATAAGAGAAAGTTAACATAGTCTGTCTCTTTATCATCATTTAGAGACTATACTTTCTGACAGGAAGTTGCTGCTAGGACAATATTAGAGATTATTATTGTTTTCATAAAGAGACAATTCAAAGATGAATTAGTAATGTGTCAATAATAAATGAGTAATTTATTAGTAACCAATTTTGTTATGAATGAGGGTGGGGAACTATTATATTAAAGCCAGAAAACTATATGATTGAATTCAGAATGGATAGAGAAGTTTGCATAAAGGCCTGAGATCCAATAATATTTGAATCCTACATTGTTTTCAGGAACAATATACGAAGGGGACATTAGCATAATGGAAATGAAAATATCAATAGTGCCCTATATGCCAATGTTTAGCTCTGTTTTAAAAAGGGTGAAAAAGCTAAATTGAAAACACTGGTTTGAGGACTAAAAGCATGTTCCTCTTAGTTGTAAACTACTGTATCTTGCCCCTCTTGCTAGATATATGGAGGAAAGAACCGGAAGGGAGTTTGCTTGGAGTGGGTGGGGAAAGAAACACGAAGGTAGAATCTGTATCAGCCCTTGATTAGTTTGTCCACCCATTTCATCCTTGGAGATGATGGAGTGGGAAAGAGTGTTGTCTGTACATTAGGTTCCTATGACTGCTGTAAAAATTTACCCCCAATTTAGTGGTAAATTTACCACCAACTTATCTTACAGTTTGGAGGTCAGAAGTGCAAAATGGATCTCACTAGACTAAAATCAAGAGGTCAACAAGGCTGCATTCCTTTCCTTTCTTTTCTTTTTTTGTAAAATATTTAAAGAGGTTTATTCGGAGCCAACTATGAGTGATCAAGGCCTGAGGTACAGTCACAAGAGGCCCTGAGAACATGTTCTCAAAGTGGTTAGGTTACAGTTTGATATACATTTTAGGGGGACAGAAGTTACAGGCAGACATTAATCAAAAATGTTAGGTATGTATTGGTTTAGTCCAGAAAGGTGGGACAACTCGAAGGCGAGATGCTTCCAGACCATAGGTGGACTCAAAGAGTTTCTGATTGGAAATCAGTTGAAAGAGTTATTATCTTAAGACCTGGAATCGATAGAAAGGAGTGTCTCAGTTAAGTGTTTGTGGAGACCAAGCTTCTTTTTCTTTTTTTTTTCCAATAGCTCTTGGGGCACAAGTGTTTTTTCGTTACGTGGATAAATTGTATAGTGGTGAAGTATAAGATTTGAGGCTGTAGGGAAAAATCTGGTTTTTTTGCTTTTTTTTTCAGCTTTTAGAGGCTGCAGATACTACTTCCATCTTCAAAGCCAGCAATGGCTAGTCATGTCCTGATTCTTCTGCCTCTCTCTTTCCCCTTGAAGGACCCTTGTGTTTACATTGTGACTACCTGGATAATACAGGTAATCTATTTAAGATTAGCTGATTAGCAACCTTAACTCCCTCTTGGCCTGTAACCTAGCAAGTTCAGGGGACAAGGATGTGGACATATTGTTGGTTAGTGTGGGCG